AGAGCGCGGGGTTGGGGACCGCTTCTGCTGGGCCCCAGCCTGGCTACCTGAGGCCCCTGCCCCATTCCTGCCGCTCGCCACCTGCCTGCCCCTAGCCTCTGTTCCAGCTCTGCGCGCCGCGCCCGCAGCCTCCCCAGCCGTCGGCCGGACTCTCTGCTGCCCTCTAGCGGCCCGAGCGCACGGTGCCGAGCTCCGCGCCTGAGGCCCCGAAACCCCGCGTCCGCCCGGCGGTCACCTCACGGGAACAAAAGCCAGGCTGGGGACCGCAGCGGGAGGGGGCTGGGGCTGGGGCTGTGCTCTGAGGACTGCAATATACAGTCCGTGCAAGCACCCAGCAAACGCTGCTGCGCTTACTGGGTTACTTACTAGATGACTATTCTCTGGGGAAACAGAACCAAAGAAAGTAAGTGTACGCGCGCGGGAGATGCAGGAAGGGGGGGTCCTTGCCCGAAGTCGCAGAGGGTCAGGGGCACCGCCGGGACCAGAACCCCGACGCCCTGCGGCCGCCAAGCAAGCGGCAGTGGAGGAGTCCGAGTGCCTCCAGCCTCAGCCCGACCCTGGACTGTTTCCCCCAAGTCTCCGCCCCCAGAGGGCAGGAGCCGGGCAGCGGGCGACGAGGTAGCCGGGGCTGGGAGCGGGTGCGGGGGAGGCGGGCCCCGCGGGACGTGACGCACCGAGCTGGGAGGGCCGGGGCGGGGCGGCGACGCAGGCTGCGTATAAGGGCGGCGGGCGGGCGCCAAAGCCAGAGCAAGCTGCCTTTGCCCAGAGCTTGGGAGAGCCCGAGCCGAGCCGAGCTCAGCTTAGCCTAAGCCCAGCCCAAGTGGAAGCGGAGCCCCAAGCCCGAGCCGCGCCCAGCCCGAGCAGAGCCCTCCGGCCGCTCACCCACGCTCCACCCCAGCGACCCCCGGCGGCTCTCAGTCCTCTCTGCCCCGTGCCTGCCCTCGCGGCCCCTCTGCCCAATGAAACTGGCCGCGATGATCAAGAAGATGTGCCCGAGCGACTCGGAGCTGAGTATCCCCGCCAAGAACTGCTATCGCATGGTCATCCTCGGCTCGTCCAAGGTGGGCAAGACGGCCATCGTGTCGCGCTTCCTCACCGGCCGCTTCGAGGACGCCTACACACCAACTATCGAGGACTTCCACCGCAAGTTCTACTCCATCCGCGGTGAGGTGTACCAGCTCGACATCCTCGACACATCCGGCAACCACCCGTTCCCCGCCATGCGGCGCCTCTCCATCCTCACAGGTGAGCCGGGGGCCGGGCAGGCACGGGAGGGAAGGGCGGGCAACCCTCGGCCAGGGCACCCCGTGAGCGCCGGTCCCGCTGCCGCGCGCCAAGTAGTGCGCTTCGCGCTTAGAGAGGCTAGCGCGCCCCGCGCAGCCTCAAAGTCAGCCCGACTTGTCCCCTGGGCGGCCACCCTCACCTTCTCCTTTTCTGCCCTCTGCGCCCCCTCTAGGAGACGTTTTCATCCTGGTGTTCAGCCTGGACAACCGCGACTCCTTTGAGGAGGTGCAGCGGCTCAGGCAGCAGATCCTCGACACCAAGTCTTGCCTCAAGAACAAAACTAAGGAGAACGTGGACGTGCCCCTGGTCATCTGCGGCAACAAGGGTGACCGGGACTTCTACCGCGAGGTGGACCAGCGCGAGATCGAGCAGCTGGTGGGCGACGACCCCCAGCGCTGCGCCTACTTCGAGATCTCGGCCAAGAAGAACAGCAGCCTGGACCAGATGTTCCGCGCGCTCTTCGCCATGGCCAAGCTGCCGAGCGAGATGAGCCCGGACCTGCACCGCAAGGTCTCGGTGCAGTACTGCGACGTGCTGCACAAGAAGGCGCTACGGAACAAGAAGCTGCTGCGGGCCGGCAGCGGCGGCGGCGACCCGGGCGACGCCTTCGGCATCGTGGCACCCTTCGCGCGCCGGCCCAGCGTACACAGCGACCTCATGTACATCCGCGAGAAGGCCAGCGCCGGCAGCCAGGCCAAGGACAAGGAGCGCTGCGTCATCAGCTAGGAGCCCCGCCGCGCCAGCGACACAACCTAAGGAGGACCTTTTTGTTTGAAAGTCAAATCCAACGGCCCGGCACGCCCCGTGCGCCCCGGGCCGCGAGCGCGCGGACTGGCGTCTCCCCTCCCCGCGATTCGCCCCCAGCACTGGGGAGGCGCCACTGAATCGAGAAGGGACGGTCATCTGCTCCGGAAGGAAAGAGAACTGGCCAAGACTAGGACTATTCCCCCACCCCCGTTCCCCCATTGGCGCCAGCCACCCCCACAACTTGGGGGGCGAGGGCCCAGCTGAGGGTGGATTTGTCTTCTCAAAGACCTAAGAGTGAGCGCAGGGTGGGGGGGATGTGAAGTTATCCAGCCTCTGTTAGGCTTCAAGAAACCGTCCTGCCCGCTTGCGGGTCAGGACCCAGGGGCATTATCTTGTCTGTGAATCCGGGTTGCTGTGACAGCCGGCAGAGCCTCTGCCCTCCCGAAACTAAGGGGGGCGTGGGTCAAATCATAGCCAAGTGACCCGTTTACATGTGAGTGACACTGCACAAAGGAACACAAAACAAAACTTGCACTTTAACGGTAGTTCCGGTGTCAACAAGGACACGAACAAAACCTTACCCAGGTGTTTATACTGTGTGTGTGTGAGGTCTTTAAAGTTATTGCTGTTGTTTTTTAAATATACAATAAAATAATTTAAAATGGAAAACCGGTTTTTCTTTGCTTTTAGAGATGGCTGGAGTGGGGAAGGGCGCGGAGAAGGAAGGGGCTGGGCTCTGACTTAGGTGGAACTAGAACTTCCCCAGAACTGGAAAATAACCCTGGCCTTCTGAAAGCAGCTTGGGCTGCCAGAAAAGCCCCCGATGCCTGGGGCATCTATGCAGGGGATGGTTCCCTAGAAAACCAGGAGGAATATAAAGGATTTCAGGGTTCCCCCTGGAGATGAACTCTTTCTAGCCATCCATCCGCTTAATTTTCTTTGGGTTCGATGACAAAAGGCCTCATTTTCTGAAAGAATGTTTTGAATTCTTCAGTGTAAATGCCACTGGAACTGTGCCTAGCCATTTTGTCACCAGACTCAGTGTGGGCCCAGGCAAACTTTCAGACTGTTGGAGGCATCACTCAGGCCCTGGGGAAAGAGCCTGAGACCCATCTGGAAGCAGGCCCATCCTGGTGCCCACCCCCACCCCCTCACTCCAGGGTGCCACCCTGTCTGGAGACAGGGAACTCCTTGGCCTCCGCTCCCCACTAGCTCCAGGCAGTGCTCATGGCCAGGTGTGGAGCCCCATGCCCCGCTCAGCCTTGCTGTCTCCCTCTCATGGCTAAGGCACCCTGGAGCACCACTCTCTTTGCCACTAGTACTGTAAACCTGTGGTGGGCGACACCTGCCAAGCCTCAAATTCTTCACCCCAGGAAGAGTGAACACCCCTGGCATGGGCTCGCTATGGGGATTAAGTGCGATGTTTGAAAAGTACTTAGCACAAATGCTGGCCACCCAGTAATCCAAATAATTGGTGGCTTTGAGAGGGTGCTCAGCCCTGTGAGAGACACTCAAAATCGTCTGAGAAGGATTTCAACCCTGCTCCAGTGAGGGTGGCTCCTCCTCCAGTCACAGAAAGGCACCCCCCACCCCGCCGCGCCCCACCAGAAGAAAAAAAAAAAAAAAAACACAACCACGGATGGCCCAGGGGCTCGTGACAGGCACTGGCAGGGATGACACGCCAGGCAAACTGCCCTTGAGGCCAGCCAGGAGAGGAGTTCCTGTTCCATACTGGTTCAGCAGGTGTGTGTCCTGGGGCGGAGGGAGGTGATAAGCAGAGGTGTGGTTCTGTGTCTGAATAGACAGAAACATTTTTCTCTCAACTCCCTGAGAGCCATCCCACTATGAATTTCTCAGTCCAAAAAGCATGATGTCCTGAGACAGCAGAGCGTAAGTCCTTTTAATTATGCATTTGAAAAATGTTACAAGTCAACAAAGGAACACAAGGCAGGCTCCGGCTCCCTCCGCCCCTACGAGGAGCCCTTGTCCATTTCAGCCTTGCACTCAGAAAGACCCTGGGGGTCTTGTATTTTCCACGTGCTTCATGTTTCATGGTATCTGTCAGAGCCTTAAAACTGGCCCACCCACTACTGTGAAATTTCAAGGAAATAACTGATTCAGTTAAATAACAGTCCCAAGGTAGAACTGGTCTCACAGGTGACCACTCGCTTAAATCCAGAGCCTGCTTTTCTGCCCAAAGCCACTGAAATCTGATCTCCTCCTTCACACAGCCCCAGGTCCCCAATATGCCACCCACCTTCTGACACGTGGCTACAGGTCTACACTAATGGAAGCTCTGCTAAAAACATCTCCACCCAATCCTCCTGCCAACGAGGTCAGTTGACGGGCATCTGTTAAGCCCCTAAACTGGTCAGCGCAGGTTATGTGCCCATTCCTAGACCCAAACAACACTCCAGGACTTCACACCTCCTCCTCGAGAGGAAAGGGAGAGAACTGCTCTTACCTCAGTCTGACAGGCAAGGGAGAGCACACAAACAAAACGTCCCATCTGGAAGAAATCAGGGAAGCTGGGGAAATGAGGGCTGTTCACAAACTTTTAAGAGCTCAAACTTGGCTGTGTAACTTTCAGACCTAGCTCATGGTCGGGGACCACCTGAACTGGCCCCCAGGGTTGCCGCTCTCTGAACACAAGGTGCATAGTGAACCCCTCTGCAGTGTAGTACATGTTGCTGCCACAAGTGCAAAGGCCAGAAGGAAAAGATCTTTTAACCAGAGCAATGGGAATCTGAAATGCCAGAAGGGGGAAGGTCTGTTCGCCTGAAGACCTCTTCGAGCCTGTGTGGAAAGGATGGCCCCTTGTCAACCCTGGGGAAGCACATCTGAAGCGTTTTGTCCACTCTTGGGCACTGACTGAGGGTGATGAGCGAGGAAGGGAGCAAGAGGTGACCGCGAGGAGAGCCCAGGAGGCAGGGAACCTGGAGGAGGCAGGGAACCTGGAGCAAGGGGCTGCCTGGCAGGGCTCTGGGCTGACACCCCCACAGCTATAGTTCCATTCACTGGCTCAAACATAAAAGGAACCAAACTGTTTGGGAAAAAGGCCACCCTCTGGCCTTTCAAAACATTATCTCACAGTTCTACGCCATATGAGCGCAGGCTTAATTCATCCAGTGAATTCTATGCAAATGTTTCAAGAAGCTGCTTTAACGGGAACAATGTGTACCTGGTACACACTGATCCTATGGGGGTGGGAGGAGAGGGAGGGAAGGAAGCAAAGAGGAACTGCCTCCCTTCCTACTGTGCTCTTCAGATCTGTCAGTGGAGCCCGGCGCAGCAGATGGCCCCCTCCCCAGCGGCAGGGGAGAGCCCTCCACCCCCTCCGCTGCCTCCAGGAGCATTCTGACTTCCACCAGCAGGCACTCCAGTTATTATGCATCTAGACATATGGATCTACACAAAGAAACCCAGCGCAGCCAAGCTCGGTGCTGGCTCCCGTACAGGCGACGCACATGCAGCAGCACAGGAGCCCCGCCCCTGCACCTTGAGGTTCTGAGCTGGGGTCCACAGGAACCACGCCCCAAGGAGACTTTGGGGATGGTAGTGGGGAGACAGGCCATTGGCTTCCCCCCGTTTCTCAGGAAGTCGGCCTCACTCTACTCCTTGGGGATTTCGAACATGCAGAGGCTCTTGTACTTTTGCAGAAGCTCGTTCTTGGTCCTGACTTGCTCCCGGAGGCTCTGCAGCTGCTGCTGCTGCTGCTCAGGGCTCAGGTGGATGCCGGGCATGGTGCTGATGAGCTTGCGCATCTCCTGGAACTTGGTTTTGAGGGCGTTCAGGTCCTGGTGGACCTCCGGGCTGTCCTTGTCCATGCTGTGGGGGAAGAACAGCTGTTAGCATTCGCAGCTTGATACATGTCTTGGCTTTCCCATCCTGCACCCCCCAGAGCTCGCTGTCATTCCTGCGATAGCTTTTAGAACACTTCATTTTATGTGTCTAGCCTCTGACTAGGCTGTCCACCCCCAGAGGAAGGGACGGGTTCTCTTTTAGGCAGCCAGCAAAGAGCTCCCAGGCCTAGAACACTTGCAGATCACACACAGACACTCTTGATCTTCTGTCAAGTCAACTGTCACTCTGTGAGGTCAAGGACCATGTCTGTCTGGTCACAGGTGTCTCCCTACCCTCGGCCCAGTGTGTGGCACACTGCAGGCACTCAAGAAATGTCTGTGGAAAGAATGAATGCTTGGCAAATAAGCTCATGAACATGTTGGTTCAATTAACAAACCAATACCAATATCAGGTGACAAATGCCAAACAAAACTTGCTAAAATATGACATTTTGTCTAATTGGAGCCATTTCTAGGCCAATCAGGAGGCTTCACCAGCTAGCAAGAGCTAATTTTAGCTGAGGTTTTGATGCTGGCTTGAACCTCTTAACATAAAGACTAATTTCCACAGAGCTGTTCATAAATTTTAAATTAGTTAAAATGGAACTGATTTAAATGTCTCAGCAGACACAGGCTCTCTTCTGCCATGGTGATGGACACTCCCTGCCTTTGATTCAAGTTCACTTTCAAGGCAGACCGTTCGTTCTATCTCACAGCTATTAGCTGCACAGAGGTCCTACTCAATGAAAAACGAGGCAAGAACAATCTCCCTTAAGATTAAAAAAACAGCCTGGCAGTTGCTCTTATACATTTGTTTGTTTGTTTGTTTTTTGAGACAGAGTCTCACTCTGTTGCCCAGACTGGAGGGCAGTGGCGCGATCTCGGCTCACTGCAACCTCCACCTCCCGGGTCCCGGATCAAGCAATTCTCCTGCCTCAGCTTCCTGAGTAGCTGGGATTACAGGCACGTGCCAACACGCCCCGCTAATTTTTGTATTTTTAGTAGAGACGGGGTTTCACCATGTTGGCCAGGCTGGTCTCGAACTCCTGACCTCAGGTGATCCACCTGCCTTGGCCTCCCAAAGTGTTGGGATTATAGGCATGAGCCACCGCACCCAACTTCCTATACATTTTTTAAAAGTTAGTAAGTGGATGAGCTTTTGAAAACAAGTGGTTGAGACCAAAACTAAAAGGCAATTCAGTAAGCTGTTCTGAAAGTAAGCCATTGAGGCATAAGAGGGAAAAACTGTCAATGATCATTAATTTTTTAAATAAATGTTCATCTGTAGCGGGAAATTTCAACCCAGATGGTGCTAATTCATGTTTACTATTCATCATTTCTCTGCTTACGCAGGCAAAATATCCATCTTTCCTGGCGATCCATCAGTTACATCTCACACCTTGCAAATCAGATGGCCACCATGGCCAGCTCAGTATTTACCAACAGCTCTAAACTCAGAGGGAGGGTACGGAGAATCAATCACTTCTTCCAGGAAATGAGAGGCCAGCCAAACATCTCTTGTCATTTGATGCCCTCAACTGAGAGACACCATTAACAGTATACCTTATCTCAGATTCTAGAGAGGATGAACTGGTATTCATGAGAACTAAAAACCCTTTGGAAGGAAGCAAATAGGGAACTTCTTTTATTTTAATTCTTTGAAGTCTCAGCTCTGATCCACAAACGTGGACAGAAACCATCTGGACTTCTGAAATCCTTCTACTTGGATGGCATGCGTGTTAACATACTGTTACGAATTTAAGTCCCAAGGAAGTTTTAAAATTAAAATATAGTTTTTTAAAAAACCGACTCACATCACATGAGTCTGAAACAACATGGTAAAACAAACAAAAAAGTACTTAAAATAGAAATGTGGATGACAGGTAATTCCATTCTTGAAGCAAACATAACCTGACCCAGAAGAAAATTTAGTTCTGAAAGTTGAAAGTGGGTCACATTTAAGATGCTCATCTCTGAAAACCCCCAAATCGCAAGGGTTGCCTGTTCTTTGGTGAACTTTCAGGAAAGGAGACAGTCTTCAGACAATAAAAAAGGAGCTGTAAAACAAGCCACCTGGAGCGCAGCTGAGCCAAAAGGGGCCGTGCAGCCCACAGGGGGGCACCTCTGCAAGCCCAACTGCCCTAGTTGGTGGAGGGAAATAGCACAGAACTCCTGGCGTGAATAAAACACGCTATTCAGAAGTGGGCACCTGCTAAGCCAGGATGACTGTGAAATATTCAAGCCAAAAGAAAAGGGACAGGCCCAAATACTGAGTGAATAAAAGCAGAAAGCTCTAAGTGGGCCTGCCTTTGTGTTCAAGGATAGTCATCGACCAACTATAGAAGGAATGAAAAAAGCCAGTAGGTCAAGGAGGATGAACATCGTACAAACAAGGCAAGGTCAGAGTGCTTTGGTCCCACCTACTGTGGTTTCTTCTTTTTTTGAGACAGAGTTTCACTCTTGTTGCCCAGGCTGGAGTGCAATGGTGCGATCTTGGCTCACTGCAACCTCCGCCTCCTGGGTTCAAGCGATTCTCCTGCCTCGGCCTCCTGAGTAGCTGGGACTACAGGTATGCACCACCACACCCCACTAATTTTGTATTTTTAGTAGAGACGGGGTTTCTCCATGTTGGTCAGGCTGGTCTCGAATTCCCGACCTCAGGTGATCCACCCACCTCGACCTCCCACAGTGCTGGGATTACAGGTGTGAGCCAATGCGCCCGCCCCCTACTACGGTTTTTTAAAAGAGTAGACAAAAATACTACCGCTAGGGGTGATCCTCTGAGCATCCTTCCCACGGATAACAGACAGTTGTATCTGTGTCACCAGACTCACGGGCAACATCCTAGGGTTTAGGTGGGTGTGTCTGAGAATCATGCCCGGATTTTCTTTGTTGTTCTTCTTTTTAGTATGGATGCTTTAGTACAGATGCAAACTGGCCAATAACCGTGTTAGAACCACGGACACGGACTTCCTCCCAAACCTGACAGTCATTTCTTTTGACCTCTTGGTGGCATCTGACTCACGTTTCCCATTTCTTCTTCCTCACAACTTCCATGCACTGTGCCTCATGCTCCACTCTGTCCTAGCTGCCTTGCCCTCAGACTAGCCCTTACCAGTCCACTCCTCTGGCCACAGGCTCTCCTCACACCGTACTAACTCCTGTGGCTTTCATTTTTCTAAGATCATTTTTTAAAAAATGACAGTAATAGGTTACTTGAGGGAAAAAATTCAAAAATGACAGCCACCCAAGGCTTAGAAAAGGGAAATCTCATTAACCCCTTGTTCCAGAGATAACCTCTGTTAACACGTGGTGTCCACTGTTTCAGATGGCTTTGAAATCTACAATAGCATACAAAACACACAAACTTTTCTTATTTGACAGAAATGTGACCATCCATGGTTCTCATTCTTGCTTTTTCTAGTTAACAATGCACCTCAGATGTCCTTCCACGCTAACATGTATACAATCAGACAGCTAAATCACCCTGGCTATTCACAGGTGGTTGTACTGTTTGTAATGTACTAGAATGACAGTGAACATCTTGTACTTATACCCTTATGTACTTGCGCAACTATTTTGGTAAGATCATTTCCTATAAGTAGGGATTCTGGGTCAAAGGTTATATATATTTAAATTTTTGACAGACATTACCAAAATGTCCTCCAAAAAAAAAACTGTACTGATGCAGATTCTCTGTAGCCACAGAGGGCGCACTTCTCCCTCCCGCCCTGGATGATACTGTCTACTACTTACCTATCAACTGTGTTTCTCTGCTCCAGTTCTGCCAAGACCTATGAGGCCTTCCAGAGAGGAAGGCCTTGAACTTATACCCTTGCTTTCATCTGCTCACAGCATTACATGTAAAAAATATTCTTTTTAGCAAAGAGCAACAAAAAGTTCTGTTGCTAAACGGAGTATGAAAAATCACTGCTCTACAAAATGCCCACAACATGTACATCCACTCCTGAGCCCTGGACACCGGGAGCACTCCCCAGCCAGCCCTCCTTCCTGCACTTCAGTTTCTTCCCCACAGTTACCAAGGCGTTCCTGCCTGGAGTCTGGGAGACGGCAAATGTCCAGCATAGACTCGCTGTCAGCAGGGGATGAGGGGAGGGCGCAGTCCTACCTACACACTCTACTGGCCGAGCTAGGAGCCTGGCCTCCCAGACCCCCAGACTTGCACCTGTGTGCCCCCTTCTCCCAGCCTCCAGCCTGCCAGCTCCATCTCCTCTAGACCAGCCACCTTCCATTGCCACTGCCTTCCTGTGGATCCAGGTCCTCTCCTCTTCTGAACCACTTCTGCCCCACCCACCTTTAGAAATCCAAGTCAGGCCGGGCGCGGTGGCTCAAGCCTATAATCCCAGCACTTTGGGAGGCCGAGACGGGCGGATCACGAGGTCAGGAGAACAAGACCATCCTGGCTAACATGGTGAAACCCCGTCTCTACTAAAAAAAAACAAAAAACTAGCTGGGCGAGGTGGCGGGCGCCTGTAGTCCCGGCTGCTTGGGAGGCTGAGGCAGGAGAATGGTGTAAACCCAGGAGGCAGAACTTGCAGTGAGCCAAGATCTGGCCACTGCACTCCAGCCTGGGCGACAGAGCAAGACTCCGTCTCAAAAAAAAAAAAAAAAAAAAGAAATCCAAGTCTGAGCAGGTCACTATGCTGCCTAAAAATCCCAGATGGCGGCCGGGTGTGGTGGCTCACGCCTGTAATCCTAGCACTTTGGGAGGCTTAAGTGAGTAGATCACTTGAGACCAGGAGTTCGAGACTAGCCTGGCCAACATGGCGAAACCCCATCTCTACTAAAAATACAAATAAAAATTTTTTTTGTATGTTTACAAAGGCATGGTAGCGTGTGCCTGTAGACAGAGACGGAACCCCGTCTCTACTAAAAATACAATTTTTTTTTACAAAGGCATGGTGGTGTGTGCCTGCAGTCCCAGCTACTTGGGAGTCGGAGGCACGAAAATCAAGTGATTCCAGT